TGTCATATACTTGTATATAATTACCTATTGATCAATAGAATGGGACACACGATTGTATATTCATAACTTTGTTATCTTGCGTGATAGGGCACTAGCGGCTTGGCTAAATCCGAAGTTGCCAAAATGTTCACAATGAGGAAAAGAAAATAGCATCTAACCTATTCTCAAGGACATCAAGAAAAAGCACGTGGACTACACTATCTTCACACAGGTGCCAAGCGAACCATCTTTCATCGTGACATAACACCTTATAAAATTCTTTTGGATAGCAACATGGCGGCCAAACTCTCAGACTTGCGAGTTTCCTTAAAAGGACCACATTATGCATCAAAGCCAACACCAAAGACAATATCAAAAGATGGCTTTATAGGTATTTATTCTTGTTTTGTGGCTAGTTTATTGAAAATAATTTTCTGTAATGTTCATTAAACACTTCCACTTATAGGTACATATGGTTATGGGGCTCCCGAGATTTCAGAAAACAATGCATTAACAGATAAATGCGATGTTTACTCCTTTGGCGTAGTTCTACTAGAAGTGGTATGCAAAGACAAGCTAAAAGTTGTTGAGAAGAGGCAGAAGCAGCCTGTTGAGGAGAATATTGATCCGAGTCTGAAAGGAAAGATTGCAGCAGAGTGTTGGGAGGTATTTATGGATATCACAGAAAGATGCTTGAAGTTTGATCCAAATGAGCGACCAGCAATGGGTGAAGTTGAAGTTCAGCTTGAGCTTGCACTGTCACTGCAGGAAGAAGCAGATGTCATAAATACTTGTGGTGAATATACCCTATTATCTATGACCATTATTAATTAGTCTTCAACCAAAATAGGAACCATATTTAACTGAAAACAAAACTGATGAATGATGGAACTATCAAGGTTGTGTCAATGATAACAGTGCAACTGGTTATTCAACTACAGTAGAGCAGATGAAGGGGAAAAGAATTTGAAGTTTATATTTGATGGAGAGGCAGGAGAGGTTCTGTACTGGCGTTGGATAACAATGTGATGCTTGAACTCTCATATTTTTTGGCTTTTCCTTAGGGGTACCGTTTCTATAGGAAATTTTTTAATGTTGTTTGTATATGTAGGAATTTAGAAAAATTAGAAAGCTAAAACTCATGTATTTTTATTCATACTTACAACTTTTAAATACACAAAACAAAATTGCAAGCTGATACAAATTCTACTCATAAATATAAAATAAATGACAAATGTAAATACTCATAAAAGTGTAACAATACTTATAATTCCTATAATTAAAATTCATAACTGTAGGAATTCTAATAATGTTCCATTAATCTGAAATAAACTCATATAATAGATGTTGATTCAGATTCTTAACACTCCTCCTTGTAATTTTTTTTAAAAAAAATATTATTTAAGTAAAAATTTCGGAGTTTGGTAGCCGACTTCTAAACGCGTTAAAAAATAAAAATAAAAAGCTGGGAGGGGAGCAGGCTTTGTTAGAATAAATAGTGGCAATTGGGCATTGGGGAAATAGTAGGTGAATGTTTTTGTTAAGATTTTTTTTGTTCAGCAAAAACAAATTTATTAATAGGTAGACTTTACAAGTATTCAAAAGTATAAAGGTAATTTGTACACTCCAATAAATAAGAAATATTTACCTTTCCAGACAAATTTAATAAAATATGTTTAAATTACATAAATAAATTCTACGTGAATTTTTTCATTAACTAAATAAATATGTGAAATTTTTTGTCAATTCCTTTAATTAAATTCATGAAAAAAAATAGAATATCTTGCACTATTTTATAAGAGTCAAAAATTTAATTTTTATGTAAAATTATTTGCATCTCCAAATATACTAGATCACAATGCACCAAAATAATTTCCATCTATTTTTATAAGTAGTGTTTCAAGACAATATAGGATAATGATAAAAATGTAAGCTTGATGTAGCTGAGAGAACAGACACAACATGAAACCACCTAAAGTACGTTTTCTAGACCTTTTGAATTTTTCTTCACCCAAATAAGACTTGAATTATAGATTTCACCTCAATTCTATAAGCAAGACACATAACATCCTCCTCCATAAGTTGAATATTTCTCTTGATAAGATTGTCTTGAGATGACATCTTTATTAATAAAATCCTCCGGATGTAAATAATTACTTGGTTAAAAATCTAATTTAGTCCCTTATAATATTTTTTTGTTTCAATTTAGTCCCACTTTAATTTTTCGTTTCAATTTGGTCCCCAATAATTTAAATTATTACAATTTGGAACTTTCGTCCAAATGATTTAAACGGGGTTAACTCCTGGTGACGTGGACACCACTTGGATGCGGACGTGGATGCATACGTGGATGCATAATTTTTTTCATGCATCTGAAACCAGAACGGTCCGTTCTGAAACCGGAATGGACCGTTCTGGTTGCACTCATGGTGCGTAAATTTTGCATCTGGAATGGGCATTCCAGATGCATCATTTAACACCAACGAGTGCATCAGAACGGACCATTCTAAAATCGGAACGGACCGTTCTGGTTTCCAAAACGGGCCGTTCCGGATTCAGAACGGGCCTTCCAGAACGCCAACCAAATTGGATTTTTAAAATTGCAATTGCTGCTTGATTGTCTACAAATACCTTAGTTGGATTTGTCTGAACCACTTGTAGATCATCTAGAATTTTCCTCAACCATAAAGCTTGATTAACAGCTTCAGCAGTAGCTATGAGCTCTGCTTCTGTAGTTGACTATGCCACATTGTCTTCTTGCTTTCTTAAGGCCCATGAAAACATTCTTGAACCTGATGTAAAAACAATAACCAGAAGTGCTTTTCATATCATCCAATGAACCTCCCTAATCGCTATCAAAAAATCCATGGAAATTAAATTCTTGATCATATTTGAACCTTACTCCATAGTCAAGAGTACCTTTAACATATCTTAGCACACGTTTATCAGCTTGAAGATGTACTTTACTTACATGTTTGAATTTAGAGAGAAGACTTACAGCTTGCAAAATATTAGGTCTTGTTGTCACAAGACACATTAAGCACCCAACAAGACTTCTAAATTCAGCCTCATTAACCTTTTCTGCACCGTCCTCTTTGCAAAGCATCAACTTTTGAAACATTGGAGTACTCATAGGCTTAGAGTTTTCCATTTAAAACTTCTTCAAAATTTCTTTTGCATATTTCTTCTGATTGATAAAAATTCCTTTATGGTCTTGTTTGACTTTCAAGCCAAGAAAGAAAGCCATTTTTTCACAATCATTCGTCTCAAAAACTTTCATCATATCTTGCTTGAACTCCTCAACAAATGCAATACTATTTTCTATCACTAAAAGGTCATCCACATACAAAGAAACAATTAAAATTGCAGAATTAAAGCATTTCACATAGAGAGTTGACTCACTGAGACTTTTTGTGAAGCCAATACTCAGTAAGTACTCATCAATTGTGTTATACCAGACCCTTGGAGCTTGCTTCAAACCATACAAGGCCTTTTTTAGCAAATAGACCTTGTCTTCTTGTCCTTTAACCACAACTTTCAGGTTTTACACATATCTCCTCTTCTAAATAACCATTTAGAAAAGCAGATTTTATATCTAGTTGAAACACATTCTAGCCATTTTGTGCTGCAAAAGCTAGAACCAATTTGAGGGTATCAAGTCGGGCAATGGGAGCAAATGTTTCATAGCAATCAACTCCATATTTTTTTAGCATATTCCTTCACTACAAGCCTGACCTTGTGCTTATTAATGGAACCATATGCATTGAGTTTGGTTCTAAACACCCATTTAAGACTAATAACATTTTGATGTTGAGGTCTAGAAACCAATTCCCAAGTTTGGTTCTTTTTCAATCATGCAAAACTCCTCTTAAAGAGAATCTTTTTCCCTTCATTTTGACCTTAAACAGATCATGTCCACTTGCATCTTTGGTCAAACACATTTTGTCTTCAAACAAAATTTTGTAGCCTTTTTCAAGTAACTGTCCAACACTTAACAAGCTTTGATTAATTTCAGGTACATAAAGTACAACAGTGATTATTTTTGTACCTGAACAACTTTCAATTGCAATAGTGTCCTTCCCTTTCACAGCTATGCACTTTTCATTGCCAATTATAATTTTCCTATCTAGCTCCTTGAACAATTCTTCATATGGTGGATTCAAACCTCTTAGGAAGAGTCACAAGGATTTTCTACACTATCCTTGTATCGAAAATTTATGTCCCAAGCAACCTCACCTTGTTTACAGTGCTTAGAAGTCTATTTGTAACACCCCAATTTTCAAAAAGGTTATTATTATTATTATTAGATGGTATTTGGTCATAATTATTTTAATAATTATAGAGAAATATTATTTTGTACGTTTTAAATAATTATTATTTTGGACAATTATTTTGTACGTATTAAATAAGTATTTTTATTAGCATTTTTAAATAAATATTTATATGTTTTAAGAGAAGGTTGATTTTATATGATATTTTGTTATTGAAATTATATTATTATATTTAGGGTCAGAAATATATTATTATTATAGAGAAAAAATATTTTATAATATACATGTATTTATTTTATTTAATTATTTTGAGGAAAATTAGAAGTGGGTTAGAAGAGAAGGAAAATGGGTTGGGTTGACCCAGTCCAATGGATTAATTTTAAGAAAGGAGTCAGGTGGTGTTAACCCTATCTGCCTCATTTGCGTTCTGAAGGGTTAGGGAAAAAAAGGAGAGAAACAAAGAGCTCTAAGGAAGAGTACTCAGGAACGATCTTAGATCACACCAAGACCATTCATCTTCTGCTCATCCAGGTACGGGGGA